TTGATCTTGTCAAGAATAAATAGCATATTAAACACTACTACAGTCCAATGCAACCTTTCGTTATAAAAAAGCAGCACTTTTTATATTGTGTATATTTTTAGACATGGTATTAACCTATGTTTTCCTGCCCATTTTAAGGTACTTTTCTAACTCAAAATGTTATTTTCTATCTCTAGGCTAAAATTTCAGGATCTTCCCATTTCTACTGAATCAAATTTTAGAGTTCAATTCAACCCATGCAAACCAACCCATCTGAAAAAGTTACAGTACCACCCTTTGCTTCACAAAGTCTGAGGCTTTGCTAATTTTGTAGCGAGCTTGATTTTTAAAACTGCATTTGTACACTTCAAACGAGAAGAAACCAAAAAGCCTTTCTTCTGCTAACAAGGACTCGTGTAACAGCAGACTGCTTTTTGTTTCTGTTACTATACCAGTGTTTCGACTTTCATCAGTCTCCATGCCAGTAAAAAGACACAATGAAGGAATTCAGACCCGATCAAGGTTTACTGTGCTCTTTTCAAACAGAAGAGCAAGGGTGTTTCTAAAGCCACAAAAGAACATTTGTAGCAAAGTTTTTACCACTGCCACATACTATGCTAATAGCAAAGCTTTCAACACGAGATTCATGGGCTGCCACGTTCAGATGATGATGAAGATATGCATCAGACCTATGAAGAATGGAATGGCAAGTAGAGGAATGGAAAAAACAGCAACCTTTCCGCTGTGCTATAAGTCAGGCTGCTGCCTCAGAGCAGAACTCCTTACAGTCCCTTTAAGAGCTGAGCAGAAGTAATCCCTTTCCAGTATTTACAATCTCACCAAAAAGTTTTATTCCGACTATCTTCTAAACTGACTTCCAAAGAGCTTTCCAAAAGGAGACTTAATTCATTAAATAAAATCAATTCCTTTAAATGCCAGGATTTTTATTATGCCAAAATAATTCACACCTACACGATGGGATATCTGACCAGAAGTTGGCAAATAGTTATCTTCCCCAGATATTCAACAGCATTCACTTGGGTATCCAAAACACAAACGCAACAGCCTCAGAGGCAAAATGGAGCTGATGTAGTTCTTAAAGTGTTGTTTGTTGTTTTTTTGTTTGTTTTTTTTTTTTAAAGAATGTGTGTGTGCATATGTATATATGGAATATTTTAATGCCTTTTTATTTAGAATTGGGCTTCTAGCAAAAGACAGCTCCACCTATTTACATGCAAACACATACTGTTTTGGGAAACTTATCTACCTGAAAGGATTAAGGTACAACTTAGATGTAACCACTATGTTAGTAACATACTATGTTAGTTTCAGTGCATTTATAGCATCCTGTAAAGAAGGGGCTCAATGCCAGCATGCCCACAGTAAGCAACAAATACTCCCCAAAAGTCAATACTGGCAGCATTACTAAACTCCACAGGAAATTACGTCTTCAGAAACCATATACCCATGTTATGTCTTTATGGATGGAACGCTTTAAACAATAAGTAACCCGAATGTAGCACATGTAAAGCCTTTATGCTGGCTGAATTGTGCACAGTGCTTTGCCTGCCTTCTCCATGGCTGACCTCAGAAAAATCAAATATGCCACACAGCTAATACAGCCCAGGTTTTGTTTTGTAAGGAATGGGCAAAGTGGCTCCACAGTTTTGTGGTTTAGTTGCTTTTACGGACCATCACTTGGCACTTTGTCTCCCTCTGCGATGCGGTTTCCCAAGACTTGCAATTCTTCTTGAAAAAAGAAGCAGGATTTTAAAATGCTTGCAATGGAGAGTTCTGAACAGCTTACTAGCCCGTGTCACTCATTGAAGTTTGTAATGACAACGTAATTCGTTCACTCACGAAGTGAAATGACAGTTAAATTCCACACTTTACTCAGACATAAATGGAAGAAAAAAAGAAAAAAAGCAAATCTTCCTTGAAGATGGTATAAGACCACTGAATGGCCCACCTGGAAGCCTGAGTATGAGACGGCTATAGCTACAGGAGAGAATCCTGCTCTACTTACGAATGTCATGGGGATGGTCTTAAATTTGAAACTGGGCTTGCTCCAACAACCTGTCCACCAAAACTTGCAACAAAATGTTGCCAGCTCTGCTCATCCTATCTCCACCCACCTTCTTTCTACACTGAACCCTTCTGAAACAAGCAATAGGACTTCCAGACATGCCCACTACCACTCTCCTTGATACAACTAATAAAATGAATGTGCAAATCAAGAGCACTGGAAAGCAGCACTCCGGTATACTCATCTCAAAAAATGTGGCCAAAATTGTTGATTTCCTTTATTTATCTTTCTTCTCCTTCCTCAGAACTCCTCTCCTCTCTCCACTCCTGCTGATTTCAGTGGGAGAGTTGCCGGTGGCCTGCAGACATTTGGGGGTGTTGGGGAGATGACACGTGTCCTCTTCTACAGTTCCTACGCTCCTTCCCTCTCAGGAGGAGGAGGAGGAGACATTCAGAAGTCCCCAGAAAGTGAAATCTTGAGCTGTGTGTCCTCCCACAAGTGTCAGAGCTCCTGCCACACACAGCCAGGCAATGGAAGAGGAAAGCTGGGTGTCAGGCTCATTGCTTGCAGGGCAAACGTGGGCAAGCACACGCACACCTCCGAGTAATGAGCAGCCTTTCAAAGCCCAGAAAACAACAGAATTTATTTTCTTTGCACTCAAAATACAGAAACAGGATGGGATTGAGTTTCTCATTGCTGCACAGGGCTCCCGCGCTGCCAGTGTCACACGTGATGCAGTTTTTCAGGCAGGTGGCCACTGCAGGAGGGCTCAGCTACACCAAATGGAATTCAAAGCTTTGCTTTCAAATGTAATTCGCTCCTTATTTCCAGGGGAAAAAAAGCAAAAAAAAAGTAGTAGTAAGGAAAACACTCTTACCATCTGACACAGCTGGTCTTCGTAAAGAGAGTAAGAGGCAACTTTCATGCTAGAAAAACTCTTCTGACATTTAATATTATGGCCATAAAAAACTCAGAAAATACCCTAAGTGTTGGGAAAACCAGTGTGCAATCCACCAAGACTTTCCAATACAGGCAGAACCTGAGGTAAAGTAATAAAAACTCAAGTCTAAGCAGAGCGAAAACATTTCCCTTCTCTCCAGCCAGTGTTGCCTCATATCACAGCCGCAGTGGAAGGAGCCTTTCAACTAAACACAGCGATCAGGACCAGAACAGGCCACTAGAATTTTTCCTTCTCAGCAAAACCAGCAGTTGATAAAACAACACCATTTCCAGCCTCCCTACAGAGAAATAAGGTGTTCTATAGCACGATGAACGAGCAATGAATGCTGTAAAGACACAGATCTGTTCTGAAAAGTCATTAATGAATATGTGTCGTTGGACAATATGACATCTGGGAGTGAGTTTCAGGTTTTCTACATTTAAGCTCAACAAGAAGTTTTCATTTTGGTGACTTTAGTGCTCTCCTTTCCTTGTTTCTCATTTTATCCCCGCTTATCATTTACAAGACTGCCTCGAATTTTATCTTGCCCTTTGAAGTTCAGCTACAAACTCAACAACTGACTATGATTCTTGTGCAAGATAAATATACAATTCACAAAATAAATAACAAGGCTCCATAAACATTAGTAAATTACAGCTACACTTCAACAAAAAACAAGTCTCAAGATCTATACTGTCAGAAATTCGCTTCACCATCAACTCTTAAAAGTTTCTACGTAGCACTATATTAGGCCCAAGGATGTCAGACATTTTGGCTGCCGCCAGTGCGTGCCAGCCGATATGATTAAGAAGCGGGTTATGGCAGCCTTCGCTGGGTACCATGGGAAGGGGACACAGAGGAAAGGGTGGCTGATCTAATAATTCATACAAAGTAGATGGATCATTACCCCTCAAAGACAGGAATGAATTACTTTTAGAACAAAGCTGAATTTCAACATTAATAATCTTTTTTTAAGGCATATGTAATAGAAAAACAGTGGGAGCTTCTTAATGTTATTATGGTGAATACTCACACACACGTTATCTGTGAAAGCTTAAGCTAGATTTTATTATTTACTGTGCCTTACCCCTTTCAGACAAAACTGTAATAGCCCTCTCACAGCTGCTCCTTTTCCACTTCCTTAAAACATCTTACAGCATTACTGTTGCAGAGATCTAGTATTTCTGATTAATAATCTACTAAATGCATGCTCTAGGTATTTGTAAAGACCATACAATATATGAAATGTTATAGCTGTTAGAAGTTCATGAGTTGGCTGTACATCTAATTCTTCTACAATATCTTGGCAGTTTACTCTGGAGTCCCAGATAAAAGCCCATTACTCTTACTCCATGAGGACCTTTCTCTCTTGATGAAAAGTTCAGCATAAAATAGTCTTGGAGTACATAAAAATGCAAAAAATTATTGAGGTATAGAGCAATACCAGTTTTTATAAACCTACCTTTGTACCAATTCCTGCATTTCACTAAGTATGGTATATAGTGAGAAGGAGGTTCTAAAAAAGCTATTGAAAGTCCTTATGTTATAATCTGTATCTCTAATATTTTGAAGAATTCAAGTTTAAAGAGTGCCCAGATGTGGTTTTTGGCTTAAACTCTCAAGCCAGGCAGTATTACTTCACATAAACCTCACTATCTATGTAATGTAATCACTACCTGTATAACGTAATCATACACAAGATCTGCACAACTTCCATCAGATCAACTGCTATTGACAATACCTGCTTTCAGGACACAAATCCTGCTGGCTTTGCAGAATTAAGACAAGCAGCAGTGCTAACCACTTGCACGCCTTTAAAATCCTCCTCCATTGCTTCACAACCACTCTCAATCTTTTTTAAGGTTATTGTATTTAAAAGAAAACACTTGCCTCACTTATATACCAGAAACATCCTATGGTAGCCATGATGCTCACCTGAAATGTATCGACAAGGATGGGGATGAGTTTTCCCCGAGAGGGTTAAGTGGAAGAAGAGGAGCTGACACCATCTTTCACTTGACCATTATGTAGGGAAGGGTATGTCGTGCCACTCACCCATGCTCATCTTAATAGGTAAATTTTCTCTGCTCGCAGCCTCCACAAGGTGTCTCCTAGCCTCCATCACAGCTTCCTTTTGTTTGAGGTTCATGAAGGACTCCCAGAGAGCTCTGGCAGCTGGATCGCTAGAAGAAAATGACAGGATTACACTAAACATTGCTTAAATAATGGAGTAAGCTTAAGACAACATTTATATTTTAAGATGAGTGCTTCTACTTAGTAACTCCTCTGAGGTGGGCAGGATACAAGCAAAAAGAAAGTGATATAAAAGCTTGATTTTTCTTAGGGGAACAGTTGCTACAGTTTCACAGGGAAAAAAAACCCTAGATATTTTTGCTGCTAATTATAAAGCATTAGAATTCACATATAAAAAATAAGCATGTCAGCCTCAAAGCAACCACTACTGTTCAACCATGGGAATATCAGAAACAGTCCAAACCTCTTCAGTTACCAAAAAGCTATGGAAAGAGAGGGCTCT